AACTACAGATGCATCAAACAAGGCTGTAGGAGCTGTGTTGTCACAGGGGGAGATCGGCAAGGATCTGCCAATTGTCTATGCCAGTAGGACGCTTAATGCTGCGGAGCAGAAATACAGTACTATAGAAAGGGAGCTAGTAGTCATTGTGTGGGATGCTCATCACTTCCGACCCTACCTATATAGGCGAAAGTTCATTGTAGTTACTGACCACAGGCCCTTGAGGTGGATTTTTAACGTCAAGGATCCAGGTTCAAATCTCGTACACTGGCGTCTGAAACTAGAGGAGTATGATTTCGAGGTGGTATACAAGCCTGGAAAATTAAATACCAACGCTGACGCACTGAGTCGCATCAATGTTGTAACTCGAGCGCAGTCAAAGACCGAGACGGAGAGAGGGGCGAACTCGGACTCCGACAGCGGGGTCATTACACCTGCTGACGATGAGATTTTGGAAATACTACGAGAATATCACGATACACCGATTGCTGGACATCCTGGTAAAAAACGAATTTATGCTAAACTGAGACAGAGATACTATTGGAAGGCAATGAAATCTGACGTGGAGAAATACGTGGGAAGCTGTGAGGAATGTCAACTCAACAAACTGGGAAAAGCCACGAAAGTGCCCATGATCGTCGGAGAAACCCCTGAAACAGCATTTGAGTAGTGTGCTCTGGATATAGTTGGTCCATTGCCCGTTACGAAAGCTGGAAATAAATACATCCTCACGTTCCAGGATGCTCTGATGAAATTCAGCAAAGCTATTGCCATTCCTGACCAAGAGGCTAACACCATCGGTCGTGCGTTCGCAGAGAACATAATCTGTGAGTACGGAACACCACAGAGGCTTCTCACGGAACAAGGACCAAATTTCGTGGGGGAAGTATTCAGAAATGTCTGTAAACTTCTGACAATTAAGAAGATTCAGACGGCGGGTTATCATCCGCAGACCAATGGCATTGTCGAGAGGTCGCATCGCACTCTAGCGGAGTACCTGAGAAACTTCATTCAAGAGGATCAGACGGATTGGGATACGTGGCTGCCATATGCTATGTTTGCATATAACACTACGCCCCACACGGCAATAAAAATGACGCCATTTGAGCTGATTTTTGGAAGACGCGCTGAATTACCGACAGCCGTTAGGCAGCCGCCCCGTTTGACATACTGTTATGATGACTTCGCTCAGGAACTACGAGAGAGATTACGTGCATCAGGAGGCTAAAGAGACCCTTGACAAGGTGAAAGGGTGATCAAAAATCCAGTATGATAAAGATGCACAGCCAATAGAGTTTAAAGTTGGCGACAAGGTTCTCCTGAAAAATGATGTTCTGCGACGCGGGAGATCAAAAAATTTGACAAGGCCCTGGATCGGTCCCTACGAAATTGTCGAGAGGAAATCGGAAGTTAACTACGTAATTCGAAGCGGAAACAAGCAAAAGACGCAGAGAGTCCACGTCAATCGACTACGACCCTTTATAGAGGCATGACTATATGGTCCCCTGCCTCGGCCGATACAACCCTTCGAAGACCTGAAATTTTCTTATCTAAGGGATAAAGGATTTTCCATGGAAAAAGTAGAATTGTCCTTACAATGCGTTTATTCAATTAAACCATTAGTTACAAGGTACAGTCACAGCACCGAAACAATTAGCAGAGTGTCGCGTGTGCCTGTTCCATCCCGGGAAGAAGAAGCCTGGATAATCCCAAAGATATTGACTGCAGAGGGGACATTTCGTTTCACTGTTGTCCAGAAATTGGGGTACGTGGCATGGCTGAGGAACTGGAGTTTCATCGAAGAGACGACGGAGATTAAAGATATCTTCCACGCCAGTCTCGATGTCAAAGCGAACTGGGAGATCCCAAAGGACGTTCAGATCCTTTCTACTGGAATTTCTCCATCGCCTGACTTGCTGCTTGAACTCCAGATACACGTGTCCAGGAGAATGGGGGAATCTGGTGCACTGAAACAACCAAAAAGTAGGGGAAAATTAGAAGAAATAGAGACTTGGGAAGTCAAGGAGAGGCAGGAGAATAAAAGAGTGGAAAATGTATTCGGACTTACCAGGTATTCAAACGTGAATTCATCCACAGAATGCTTCAAATATGGATGCTTTCTGACGGAGTATCTTGGTTGGGAAACGGGGGGTCCGAGTCGTTCCCACACATTTTTCCTGACGGGTCTTCTCGTTGAGCCCTTGAACCGAAATGTCTTCACGGGGGACCCAGTAGAAGACGCAGCACGGGTTCCAGGAGGATTGCTGGAGCGCAATGGGCAGGCACGAGAAAAATGTGCAAGCTGGTCACACTTGAAGCATCTTTTTCGAGCTTCAGGAGTGGTTGATGATGGGCGAGGTCCTACTCGACGGGATCTCTTGCAGATCCCACAGTTAGAGGACGTTCCACATGCGGCGAAAGGACACTTTCGGAAAACATGTCCGGCTGTTCCACACTTGAGGCACTTTCCTGGATTCATCTTGGTGATTTGGTGTATTGTAACCGTTTCACTCAAAATTTTGGAGAGGAGTGTGACTAACTGGGGGCGACAGGCACTTTTATATCAAAGAGTGCAACGTCGACAAATATGGCCGCCGTCAAGTCAACGTCGACATCAACGTCACCTGAGGTCATCGTCCGGCTCGACTTCAAGAACTTGTGAGTTCGCAATAACACGGAAGCCGATGAATTTTGCAATGCCCTTCATAATGCTGATGCTGGGAAGCATGGCATCTGAAATAAGCGGGGAGGGGCATGTGGTGGAAAAGTTCATTTACACTCCTGGAATTTATTTTGAACCTGTCGGAAGATTGTATCTGAGTAATCAGGTATGGAGCATAGCTGCATCTACAGATGTATCACCCTGGATGTTAAGGGCTGATCAGGTTCATCGACATCTTTCCCTGGCAAAAGAACTCTGTCGAAGGGCCGGGAAAGGTGGAGAGAATTTTAAACTCATCGTGGAACAGTGGATTGAGGACTTTGCGGAGACAAAAGATGTCATTCTTGGGATGCTGAGTTCCAGTGATTCAACCAAGAAATGCAGAGGGCTCATAGATGGTCTAGGGACCATTGCCAAATCATTATTCGGTACTATGGATGCCCAAGATGCACAGGTAATTGATGAAAGACTCAAACGGCTGGAGGATGGTGTCGAAGGGACTTTCAGGAGTTCAGCAAAATAACTGGAGATAATTAACTCGACACTCTATCAGCTGGGTCATGCGGAGGAGATGATAAAAAAGAACGAGGGAATCTTGATGCAGTCCATGAAGGAGGCTGTGAGTGAAGTAAATCATGAGAACACGATAATGAATAATGAATAAAATCAACGTGGACGAACATCTCATGATACTGGAAGCAATCTACACTGGAGTACTCAGGGATGCTGCGAAGATCAAGAAGCTACTTACCGACTCCAGGGGGTTGGTGTTGAATACAGGGGTATTCACAGAGGACGGTTTAGTCACCCTCCTTAAAACAGCGAATTTACCAAAGGGTTTAAGTTTCCCCTTTGAGCTCGAAGTAGGCGGGATGTATCAACTACAGAAGGTATCCACCGTCAGTGTACATGCATTTGGCTTGAAAATTATTACCATGGTAGAAATACCACTCGTTGACTTCCAAGCGTTTGACGTTTTGCTGACGCATGGGATTCCTGTGCGGACAACGGACGGCTATCACTCATACTTGGAGGCGAGGAATGAACTTCTCGTAATTTACGGAGCGACACAGCAGTTCGTGCCAATGACCGAGGGACAATTAAATCGCTGTAAGCAAATTCGAGCACAATCCCTATGCACTGAGTCTTTGCCAATACAGAAGGTGAAAAATACGAGTCCGTGCGAGGTGCAAATGTTTATGAATCCGGAGAAGATGCCCAATACTTGTGTGGTGAAACACCTCCAGCTTCCAAGGGCTCACTCTTATAAAAATGAGAAAGGACAACGCATGGTTCTACGCGGCTCAAGAACCTGAGGGAATAGCAGTCACCTGCGGTGACAATGAAGAACGGGATATTCTGGACGACTCAGGAATCCTGCGAGTCAAAGATTCCTGTGAGATAATTACTTCTGACTTGACTATAAGAGGCCGGAAGACACATGAAGTGACATACAACGCTCATGTTCATCCAAAGCTGAATTTGACGTTGGATGACGTCACTGTCACGCAACTAGAGCAATGAAAATTCAACCTGAGCGACGTCCAGCTGACCAATGTTGTCATTGGTCAGCTGAAATATGAGGAAACTGGAAGGGCTTCAAAATAGCATAAGAATGTATGTATTGAATTGAGAATCTGTTAATTGTTACGTACGACTACGTATCCCTCAATTTTCTAAGTTCCGGGCTCACTCATTCAGGGCACATCCTTCCCTGAGTCTCCAATCAAAAATTTGACGCATGGCTTTCGCGCGCGCTGGGAGACGTCACCCGATGCCTCGCAGGTGTGCGACGAAGAACAACGACCTGATGCAATCGAATTACACGGGTGCATAAAAGACTGGTGAATTCGTTGCCTCGGGGCCAGCTACTCGACGAGTCTTGAATTACCTTTTTATACTTATACTCGCCTGATGCCTTCAGTATCAATCCGAGTACTTATTTGTTTAATAAATGGTAAACTAATCACATAAGTTCAATTTCCAATAAAGATAATTATTTCTACTGTCTAATCGCGTGTAATCAATCCCTACATCGAACCCAACCGCTCGGGTCCATAACATATTTGTGGCATAAAAAAAACACCAACTCAATGGTTCCCCAGGAAATTAAATGATACCAGAGAAAATGGGATGCCAAATCAAATTTAAATTAAAAAATACCATTCCCGCAACCTTGAGACCTCCTCTCGGGGCATTTCGTCCAGCCCAACCAATCATTACATCTTTAATTCATAACTAACTCGATTGTTTTTTATAACCATACTTCTCTATACCTATACCTGTTTCTATGGACATTTCTTATCACTATTATCACTACTCTGTGATTGAAAAAACATACCTGAACAGTAGAAGCCTGTGGGGTGTATTGCGATGACCTTGATGATAATACACAGCGGAAGTCTGCAGCTTTATCCTCCAGTAAGAAAAGGATATTCTCATCACTAGTAGCCTCTAACTATAAATGAAATATAATTAACTGATGAATACGTCCATCTCCAGGTTATTATTAAGTAAGTGGAAGGTCGAGCGATAGCGCACAAATTAATAACGACTTTTAGTAAATTGTCACCTTTTGAAATAATCACCATTCAATCAATTTATTACTTGTGAAAAGCGATCTTCCTAATTACAATTGTGAAATTGTAATGGCAATAATTACAATAAATATCAAAAAAATGTCCTAGTTGCCTAGTTGTTCATTCCATCAGAACCCTGTTCAGGCGGGAATTATTAGTAGAACGTTGCATTCATGGTAATTTCATCAACGTCGTAATTTATTCCTCCAATATTAAGTGGCATTTCACCAATTAAACACAATACAATTTTGTGATAATAATCCTTTGTCTCAACTTACATTGGTGATGCTGGAAACGGCAGCTTGTAGATGTTTCAAACGGAATATGCGTTGCTGAAAAACCACCAGAACCTTCGTATTCGCATTTATTTCCACCGAGTGAACAACTGTTGATGTTGGAGAGTTCACGTTTAGGCTCTGCATGAAAAATTAAATCAGGACATGAGATCACAGGAAAAACAGCAGGTGCCTCTAGCGAATTTGTATCTCGTGAAGGTTCATCGAAGCCTTCGTCGTCGCAGTTGTTTCCACCGGAAAAATAACTTTTGATATTGGAGAGCTCATGGAGAGCCTCTTCACGAGAGATTAAAACTGGACATGAGGTCACAGGAGAAGCCGCAGATGCCTCCAGCGAGTTTGTGCCTCGTGTAGATTCACTGAGGCCTTCGTCTCCACATTCATCGACAATCTATAAATGAGTGATAACACATAATAAGTTATGATAGTGGACGAGTTAGGGGTGCACCATGGGCCGTTTGATACCTTGTTATAAAAGAGAAGTGGGAAGTTCATGGGCGAGTTGAAGGTCATATTCGAAAGCAAGATATTCATCATGATTTCTTGATAATAAAATTTTTTTCTTTTTTTCCGGATGCAATAAAATTCACAATTTTCGAGCAGAAGAAAAATAAGAATTTCTCGAATTTCTAAGATTTTCAACGACAATGTGAATGTTACGTTACAAATTACTGTTAATTTCCAATTAATAGCGAATTTCACAATAGGTAAATGGAAATGCATTTCTTCTAGTTATTTACATAGACTAACGGACAGCAAATTCACAACTTTCAATTGATTTGATCATCAAATTGTTCATTTTCACTAGCTTAATTCCATAAAATTTCAACGGAACCCTCTTCTGATGAATATTTCCAAGTGAACTTGACGTTCCAACCAAACTTTTATACCATTTGGGACTCAAACTCTTCCAGAAGTAATCGACGAGCAAAGGCTGATGAATGAATTTTCATAGGAGTCGAAGGAGACGATGAGTGATGATCAGAATGAGCCTCCACTTGGACTTCCAGGATTTTCTTATCATCAAAATCAATCCCTCCTTCCTCATCTTTGCAAATGATGTGAAGTTGATAGCTTTGTTCAGCTTCATCACCAAATTCTTTTGCATAGTCTGCGATGATTAATTTCTCCACGTGTTCACAGCATGATCTCCAAATATCAGGGGTGATATAATTCAATGCTACATTCCAAATCCTTTCAGTATTCTCCCGAGAGAAATCAAAACCACGACCGACGTGATGATCAAAATATCGTTTGAGCATCGACCAAATAAGTTCGATGGCATTGTAAAAAAGAGTGGTATGGAGGTAGACGTACAATCTCATGATCTGTCTGAGTTGCAAAAAACTCATCGAGTTCATACAAGTTTGGCTCTTTGTTGGCCTTGCAGAGTTCAAAGACCTTTTTGTTAGTACTTTTGGGATCATAGTGGATGTTATTGTCTTCCGGCCATTTCTGGAGATCTGCTTTGTTCCATGCCGTTGTCGGTTGCTTCTCAGTCTACAGGAATATATTGATTTAATATAGTGCAGTTAATCTAATAATGATGAACCGTTTGACATAAATCAAATGGTTGATCATTATTCGAAAAAATGCAATTTTGTAATAAAATTACAGATTTCACTGCGAATTCAGTTGAATTCCAGTTTTTTGAACAACATAAAGACGAGAATTTCTCAATTTTTTGCAAATTTCAATAAAATAAAAATGTTTCCTCGCAAATTACACTGAAGTTTCAAATTATTCATAATTCTTGAATATATTTAGAGGAATGTACGTGAAATGAAAAGTCCTCATGGATGTTTCCTGGAAATTGTGAATTTTCAATGATGAAATTAATGGACATTTCAGTGGAACTTAAATGTCATAAAAATGTTAGAGAAAATACGGGACGCTTCATACGAAAGTTTTGCAAAGCGTTCAGAACACATTAGTGTTCTGAATTGGTGTATTATTATTTTTTTCTCTTGTGAATCGCTAATACACAAGTAAAAAACAATCTGCGATGCTCAAGAAAATGGATGAAGACATCCCAAAAAGATCACCAGGAACGTACAAAATATTAAGGAAGAAAATAAAATACACAAACATAAGAATTCATCAATGTTCTACTGGGATTGGATCATGAAGAACGGGATCTTATCACTCACCTATCAACTTGGAGATTCATGGATAATTTCACGATAACGATGAATGAACTAAGAAGATGTTAAAAAGGCGAATATTAATAAGAATAAGCAGATATGTTAGTTACAGATTAATTTTTCGGTAGCGAAATGGTGAAACGGTTCAAAGTTGTATATCCGAACTCCGAAAGAGTCGTTGGAGGTTCCAAAGAGAAAAGACACAAATTCATAACGCCCGAAAAAAAAATCTACTATTGATAATTTCTCACATGAATCATAAATTGGACGAGAGTTCCGAATTAATCCCTCAAATTTTCACTAAAATTATTTTGTTAAACAATGCTGTTTCCTTTGACTACAGCATCTTGGGTACATTGGAGGTACCCACAAACAAATTAATTATCACAAAAGCCGACAGTGATTGAAATTTTCGTATTAAGCATAGATTTTTTATTAATCTTTTCCTAATTTCCTTATTATTATATGGATTTATATCTTTTTCGTAACCTAGAAAACTAAATTTTTTCATTGCACTCTGTGTTATTCTGCCACTTCCAAATTAATTAGCAGTGATAATACTGAACTGTAAATTGCCATAATAAACCTGAATGTATTTATTCATATAAACTCTGGTTTAATAGTTATTTCAGATTTTAATTTTCAAAATTCAATTTATCGTTATACTACTTCAAGTAAATTTTTACAATTTTAGCCACTTTTCAATAAATATCTTGGAATCTAAGAGAAATAGCAAAATTTTCGTTACGGCCTTCTTTGTAGGCCTCAATCCGCTCAACGGAAATGGTTCCTGCAAATAATGTATTTCTCGTACATTCATTGATACTTTTAAAAAAACTCAGCTGAGGACTGAATCGACTGAAGCCGCTTTACCTTTTCGCCGCTGATATTTCATTGGACATGAATTATGATTAATGTCAATAAATATTGAATTATCTCGTGAATGATTATTCCAGGCAAAAATCTCATAGAACCTTTCGTGTACATCTGATATTTTGAAATCGTAGTTATCTCTTTACAGCACATTCTCAATCATGAAGATAATTCTAATATTTATCGAGTTAAAAACATACATCTGATGCTTTATTAACTGGCTTCAAATTCATAATAATTCTATGCGTCATTAGTACATACTTTCACGGAATGGTACGAGGCGTTATACATGACAATAGCACAACGCTCGGTCAGATTTGGCAGGAGACTCTCCATGATCCACTTCTTGTACAGATCAGCATTCATGTCACAGTGGTAATCTTCATAAGGTTTGGGTCTTTTAGCTGAACTAAGGAAGAGGCTTGCACCAGGAACAAAACCAAATTTTCCGCCAGCATGACATATAATGTACCGATCCCCTGTTGATGCCGTTTTCATCGAACAACTATGAGGATTATCGTCTTGCCACTCTTTGGTTTTTCCAGTGCCTCGTTGATAAGTCCAGGTTTCATCAGTATAAATAATGAGAATTCCTGCTTCCAAAAGCAATTTCATCTTCTTCAAGAACTTTCTTCTTTTGAAGACAATCTATTGCTGCTCTACTAGATATCAAGTACCATCACGTCGGCGATATTCAAATCCGATATCGTAGAGTATTCTGTAGAGTGTCCTTAGACGGCCCTTGAACCGGATATCATTGTCAGAACTATGAAAGAAATTTGCTCATATGAGAAATGATAAGGGCTTTGATTCATTCCCATTCCGGTTCACTGCAGACTGTGTTCCTGAACCACGAGAGGTTTTAAAGACATGAAAAAATTCCTCAAAACCCAGATAAACTCAAATAAAAATCAGTATCAGTATCAGTATCAGTATCAGTATCGTTCAGTATTTGAGATAGAACCAACACGTACTTTAGAACAATGTCGCCCGATGAAGAACATCATCGAAATAAAAATGTTATGAGTATTGACAAGGACATGCAGAAGTTGAATGAAATGAATACCTTAACTTTTGGTGTAACTCGGTAAGACGTACAGATTTTCCTATAAGAATAAGAATTTGTCATTCGCTGAACGTAGCATTGACTGTAAATATTTATGTTAGATAAAGTTTTCGCGAGTATGGGACGCTATTTCAATCATATCATCGTTTATTAACGGAAATCACAATAGTCCGTTAATAAACAAGGATTTTGAGAATTGGAATGCATCGCAAGCATTCTACTTCGTCCCACTTTTCCTCAGATAACCTGAATTTTAATGAAGAAATATCTTCTGAATTTTTTTTACTGAAAACAATTCATGCTTGATTTTTTTTGATACCTGAAAATATATTTGAAAAATAAGTCACGTAGTTACTTTTGAGGATTCCGCTCCGTCTCATTTCTTGAATATCTTGAAAGGAGGAATACCGGAAGAATATGTCAGAAACCATTTTTTGTTGGTAATTCAAGTTCATTCAAAGAATGTGTTCTGACATATACCTGTAAAGCTGAACAGTCGAGACGATTATCAATTTAACAACATGCAGAAAATAGTTTCATTGTGGGACACTTGAATGCTCCATTTCACGTGGCAACAAATCATTAAATCACTTCTGAGCATTATTCAAATATTGCTCCAGGTGATAAAATGTATTTTAAGACACCCCACACATCCTTTATGCGAAAACTCGATAATTATCATCAAGAGGGATTTTAAATTTCAATTCGTACCTGACTTTCAACGAATGAACGATTTAAAATTTTAATTCGTACCTGACTTTCGACGTATCAACAGGTAGTAAAGAGTCACCATTTATCCTCTCTTTTTCTAATTATTGGAAGACGTTGTACGCAGTTGCTTGGAGTTCAGCATTGAAAGAGCATCCTCTTTTGCTCTCCATATCAGCAGTCCAAGGCTTCCGTGGTTGGAGCCTCTTTGGAGTCTCGTTACCTCTCCTGAACCGCATTTGGTTTTATTTACTGTGAACGATAAAATATGGTAAAAAATATTGGGCGCTAAATATGATGAAGAAATGAATGAAAAATAGAAAAATTCACCAGATACGAATAGCTAATGTATAAAATACCACAGATGTATCTCTCATCGCTGGTTAAATTATTTATCATCATCAGTAATGTTGTAGGAGTATGTAAAGGGCCTTTCTTCATTTTTAAGTTCATCGTGAACAATCGAACATGCTTCATTTGTTCACTGAATCAGTTATTTGGAAGTTAAATTAAAAAAGAATAAT